GTGGCATCGTTCTAGACATGTCGCATCCCTTGACTCAACTACTATCCAAGTACTTAACCTTCGACAACGAAGCATTCGCCAACTGTAGCGACCTATTCCTGGGTTGTTTTCTGAATCTAATGAAGCAACATGTCTCCGGCTGGGACGACACCCACCGTGACGCACTATTATTGACAACCGGTCGCATGTTCTTACTCAGTCTCACCACATTATCACAATACCGAGAATTGACACTGATGTCCAAAAATGACGAGACAATGCCAGTGTTAGGTCACCAGCACGTCCTGCAATGTGACAGCGGTGAATTACCACCCGCAGCTACGCGACCAGAGACACTTTCGCTCTATCCCCTTCATCCCGCACGTATCAAGGTAATGAAGCAGCAGCCAGGAGGAGTCGATTACCTGTCTTTCGAGATGCTTTGATGCCTGTACGATATGGACGAGCTAGAAATCGGATCCCCTAGCTCAATGCATGCATGGTATCCTCCTGCAGGATTCTCTTATGACCATTGATCTCGTGAGCACAGCCAATGGTAGCTTGGAATTTGACTCGATTTCTGTCGGCGATCTCCTGATGGATGGGGTACTTGATGGTTTCATGGGATCGCAATTTTGTTAAGGCAGTCGGTATATGTCATAATGTGCGCCGTCAACAACGGTAGAGTTCTCTATTTGACGCAGATATTGGTCCTTCGCTCTTCACCTCATCTAAGTCGTCTCTTGGTAATCAGCTGCTATCAGGAAGCACTCTACTCCAACTGCGGGGCCAGCTGGACAGTGAAAAATCCATGGGCCCCTATGCACGGGGCCATCCGCTCATACGTCCAATTGAATGAGACTCAGCGGCCAGGGGTAATAATATATCTTGGGGGTTGTGAGTATAGAAGTCAGCTTCATCCGCGCTGTCAACGGACCTGTTGTTTCCAAAATCATCAGTAGTACACCTTCGCCTATTCCAATGTCGGGTGGCGGTAATGATTGAATACCAGGGTGCGACTGTGGGTGAGTGTCCAGGATACGAACATATGATCAAGTGATGGCCAGTCTCGGATATTCTTTTGCAAATGACCTTTTGTATTTTGACTGCATTATTCCTAGACGATCCACTTCCAGACGTCTGCATTAAGGCCTATTGGCGCAGGCCACCTTACGGGGCTTGGTGCCATCACTTTTGTCTTTATCCTGGGCAAAAGAGTTCAACTGTTAGGATCTATTCGAGATTCCCCATTTCTTCCACACGAGGAACCCCGACTCGGTAAAATTAAATCTCGGATGTACTCCCGACATGAACGCGTCCCGTGCGACGTTTGGGCAAAAAAAGGTCTCTGGAATGAACCAATCCTGGTGGCGGGGAAGCCCTCTTAAGACGTTCTACTAAGGAGGAACACAATCTTAGGGCAAATGATCATCATGGGAGTTAATCTACGGCCGGGAGCTTAATTGGCCACGGGGACACCCGGGTGGGAACACAATGCTGCACTACGGGGATTTCACCATTGCGATTAAAATCGCATCATCTATTGGATGTAACCGAACCTTGACGGGACCTCTTATCATTCAACTTACGAATCGCACCATTGGACTTAGTAGCAGCAAGTTGAACAATGCGAGAAGACCGGAAGACCGTTGGACCCCGGCTATAAACTGCGGCATGTCTCAGTATAATAGATCAAAATGGGAGTCCAGCCCGCTGTCCATAGTCTCTCCATTTCTGGAGCTATCTAAAACCTCTCTTATCTTTCATCCCCTCCTGGCCCGCCTTCTTCTCGCTTCGGCATTGCCAAAATGCCCAGCTATGTGGAAGCTCCCGTCGATGGGAGCGAAGTCTCGGACGGCTCTCAGGTGACAAAACGGGTTAATAAATCGGACGAGCCATATGCGACGGTCAGTGAACAGAAAGCAACGGGCCACCCACGCGAAACGGATGGCGAAGAGTCCTTAGGGTCTCGGGGTGGCGACGATGATGCTTTATATGTGAAAGGACATCCCGTCATCCGAAATGGTAACCGATTCTGTAACCTCAGGTTCCTCTGACTCGCAGCTAATGCTTCACATCAGGCGCCGATGTATCCAAATTCATTGTATCCGTCCGAGATGATGGGGACCCTTCTCTCACGTTTCGTTCTATCATCCTAGGCTCAGTGTTCACTGCGCTTTCGAGCGTGATCACCATGCTTTACGTCTTCAAGCCATATCAAGCTCAAGTATCTGCGGTCTTTCTGCAACGTAGGCCTTTCCCCTTTCTGCGTCTATCCGTGCTGTCTACTTACCCACTTACCTATAGTGCTCGTCTATGTCTTTGGTGAAGCATGGGCCCGTCTTACTCCCCGGCCTGATAGGTTCAAATGGAAATGGCTACAGACCGTTCTCAGCTTTCTTAATTTTGGGCAGCGCTTTACCATCAAAGAGCATGTGGTAGCCGCCCTAATTGCGTCGTCTGGAAACAACGGCCTCAATGGTGTAGAGATATATGCCGTGGAACGACTTTTCTATGATAGAAGTGTGACCGCAACCACCGCGGTCCTGGGAACCTTTTCTATGGCCCTTTGTGGGTTTGTCCTCGCAGGTGTGATGCGGCCGCTGATTGTTTACCCTGCGGAAATGGTGTACTGGTCCACTTTACCTCAGGTGGTGCTCTACCAGAATCTCCATTTTGACCGGCGGGCCAACAAAGAGCGCCTGACGAAGTTTGGCTGGGCTCTGTTACTTACCGCCGTGTGGGAATTATTTCCCGCGTACATCATGACTTGGCTTTCGGGTATCTCCATCTTCTGTCTCGCCTCCATGAACGCGCCAAAGCACACTCGGACCGTTTTCTCTACGATCTTTGGGGGCGCTTCGTCTAACGAAGGTATGGGCCTCTTTAACTTTTCGCTGGACTGGCAATATATCCAGAGCACCTACCTTTCATTGCCGTTCAAGCAACAGCTGAACAGTTGGATTGGTTACATCATTCTGTATGCTGCTATACTCGGCCTCTACTACAGCAATGCCTGGGATGCCAAATCCTTCCCGTTCATGTCCACTTCTCTGTTCCAGAGCAATGGCACACAGTTCTCAACGTCAGCCGTCATAAATAGTCATGGAACCATTGATTTCAGCAAGCTCAAGGAGGTCGGCCTGCCCTCATTGACTTCGAGTACTGTCTGGGGTTATCTCACTCAGAACCTGGCCATCGGTGCTTTGATTACCCACGTCCTCATTTTCTATGGCAAAGACATGGTGCTCGCATGGAAACAGGCACGTAGCAGGACTCAACCGGATCCACACTATCAGGCGATGCTGAAGTATAAGGAAGTCCCCATGTGGTGGTACCTGGTTCTTTTCGTCCTGTCCTTTGTCGCCGGACTGATTGTCAATATCAAAGGAGAAACCACTCTCCCAGTCTGGGGCTACATCGTTTCGCTTCTCCTCGGCGCCTTCATTGCGCCTTTCTCCTGCATACTCTACGGTCTCTACGGAACGGGTGTTTCCACCAACCAGCTGTCCAAGATGGTGGCAGGTGCCCTTCATCCCGGCCGCCCGCTGGCCAATCTCTATTTCGCCAGCTGGTCCCACCAGTGCATCCTTCTCTCCGTCAACTTGGCTAACTGGCTCAAAATCGGGCAGTACACCAAAGTCCCTCACCGTATCATGTTCGCCACTCAAATATACGGTACTCTCCTCGGCGCCGGGTTAAACTACGTCGTGATGACCACGATTGTGAGCTCCCAACGAGAGATCCTCCTCGATCCACAGGGAAACAGCGTCTGGAGCGGTTCAACCGTGCAAGGCCTTAATACCCAGGCAATCACATGGGCCCTCGCAAAGGAGATGTACGGCGTCAGCAGTCGTTATCTCATCGTGCCCCTCTGTCTAGTCATCGGTCTTGCCTTGCCAATCCTGCACTGGGGTTTACAGAAAGTGATCCCTTGTCTACGGAAGCTGCCGCTCAACACAGCGATCATCGTTTCGTACGCCGGCAGTCCGTATTATGGAAACACATCATGGATTTGGTCGTCCATTGTTGTCGGTCTTTTCTCGCAGTTCTGGCTCAGACGCCGCCTGCCGGAGATCTACAACAAGTACAATTACCTCATTGGTGCTGCGATGGACGGAGGGTCTCAGATTATCATCTTCATTCTCTCGTTTGCGGTGCTTGGGGCTGCCGGTAAGGAACGCCCGTTCCCTACGTGGTGGGGAAACCCAAATGGTAATCCGGATCATTGCTTGTAAATGAAGCACTCGTCTTGCCAGTCTGCACACTGCACGTATGTACATGCACGAAGACAAGATACCTCCCATGCAGAATTTGAAGTAGATACTCCCAAATGATGAATATCCTCCGAAGCCCTACCTTGAGCACATACAATAAAACCACGCCATTTAAGCCGAATCCCTCTCACTCTAAACCCCAACAATCCCCCACCCGGGAAAACGAAAATCTACTATAACAACATACCATACAACCCCATAATAACCACCTTCCCAACAAGTCCACGACCGACGTTATCCCCCAAACCACGCTAAAACAATAGCCTTACGAATCCATCTCCACCTTTCAGGCTAAATCTCCACGCGCAGGAGGCCCAACCGTCGGCTACTTGCTTGACCTGGGGGCCAAATGCTCCTCTACCAATCGATGCCACTTTGCCACGCACGTCTAATTACGATCTTCAATGTGGGCTGGCGAACGTGCAGAATAGCCATTGATTACCATGGTTAAGCAGTTGACTAGCCCCGAATTCTGAATCTATGGTAGTACGTAGAACGATCAAGGACTGTGTTTGTTTAATTCCTACATTGGGAAGTTCTTTCTGTGCGTAATAGTCACATTGGTTGGTTGTTTGTACAGGTGGATAATAGACATTTCCTGAAAGAAGGATACTATAGTAAAATGGGGTTCGAGAAAGGAATAGTATTGAATGCTCAGCATTCGGTAAGGGAGGTCTATGGGTGGATCACGAAGGGAATTGTGTTCTTTTGCCGAGCAGTAGCCGATGAAGTGCTACGCTGGGCTCAGATTGCAAAGGGGGCTGCCAGCAGGAGCAGAACTGTGAGGTATTTGTTCAGGGAGCTCTTGCTTGCTGCACCGGTGGCTAGCGGTGGGTGGTTCGAGGATGGTGAGGATGGTGACGTGGATGGCGACCCGGGCTTGGATGTAGGGTTTGAGGCGGTGCTGTTGTTGTGGACCGAGGTGGTCGTAGGCGAGGTGCCGGGGGCTGAAGAAGTGAGCGAGGCCGTGGCATAGATCTTGGAGATGGTTGATAGAGTTGCTGCAGAAAGGACTTGGGAGGACGTCAGTTTGAGGGAGAGTATAGGGGTAGAAGGTCATGTTCAGATAGCGTGGCGAAGTGTAAGGTGATGGATGGCAGACTAACCTGTAGAAGATGACGATGCTGTTGCAGCCCCCGAGCTGTCGCCCTTGATATTACCATCGATTGCTTTGATGGACTTCCATGAGCCAGACTTATCCGTATACTCGTACGCAGAGCCAGTTGAGTAGTCTGTGACCTTGATCGATTTCACGTGCATAGTGAACGGTCCTTGAGAATAGTCAACTTGGCCACCAGCCCATTCTAGTGTTTAAGCTTAGTTAGATGCTCATAAACTAGGGCTCAGGATTCACATATCATACCGATCGTTCCCGGGGCGTTAGAGGGATCTCCCGCTGCCCAAGGGCCAACCTTGATGAAGCAGGGCGTCTGCGGATACTGTCCGTGGGCGTTCTTTTCCTCCAATGTACGAACGGTATTGCCATCGATCTGCCAGAGAATCCGGTTGCTATCCCAGTCAATCGTGTACGTCTTGAACGCATCGTGGTTCCCAGGGTCTGGGTGAAAGGCACCACGGTCATAGGTGGTGGTATCGCCTTTGCCAAAGTAGTTCGTCTGAACCTGGGCGTTGTCCCCACCAAGCCACTCCCAGTCGATCTCATCTAGACTGTCTGACTGAAGAACCGCACTGCTGACAATACCAGTACCCGGTGCAGCTTTGATGGTGAATTCCACTCGGCCGAACATGATGTAGAAGTCGGACTGGATCAAAGGACCGTCAAGCTTCTTTGCAACGGTCAAGGCCACGCCGTCCTGGTCTTGGGTGACCGTCCCAATAGACTTCCATCTGTTAGGGAGCGATTTGGTAAGATCGAATGTAGCTGAGGTGCCAAAGGCAGGATCCTTGGGGCAGCCTGTCGAAGTTAGATCGTCGACCCTGGGATTTTGTCACAGTAAAGGTATCACTCACTAGCCTTTGTGGGGTTGCACGAAGTGAAGGTTTGAGCATCTGCCAGATAAGGCAGCAGCAGGATGGTCATGGCCATGGCCATGATGTAGCATGAGAACCCCATACTCTGTGCGAACATGGTTTCACGCATGTATGTCGTCGAAATGAGAGTGATGCCAGGGACGATCTCCCAGGCGATAAGGTTGTTTTAATATGACAACGAATGAAAGAGTGTAAGGCAATGGATGAAAGAGTGTAAGGAAGTTGCAGAACAAAGAGATCCATTGCTTCTGTGTCTTCTATTATAGACCATGGCTCAGAGAGTGAATTTGCCGGTCCTACCCGGCTATTTTTAGTCGGGTCATCTGAAGCCAAGTTGAACTTCACTGTACGCTTCGTACATTCACTGGTTGACTGACAGTCAGCAAAAATGCCTCGGAATAACTCAAATAGTACTGTTCAAGTGAGTCATCAGAGCATGTTGAGAGATAAAAAGCACAATGTTGCCGCTGGTAAGACTTCTCTACGACCTCAACAAGTCGTATATGCTACTCGGGTACTCTTGTGACACGGTGACGGGGTTCAAGGTGTTTCTGTCTGTTCTACTATCCTCGCCTACTTGCGTATAGAACTCTGGCTGCAATGTCCAGGAATTGGTCATAGACAGGCCCACCTTCCTTTTCCCCTTCACCGTACATTCTACTTGGTCGGTTCATCTGTTGGTTTCGGTGGAACAAGCTCGCGTGAGCCGGTAGGAAACTCTATCGTTCTGTCCAGCCCTAAGCTCTGAAGTAGGTATGATCAAGCGACTTCGCATACATTGACCTCATCTGACACATTTGAGTGGCTAGTGCATTTTTGAGATACTGTCGGAAGTTACGAGCCTGAGTTACGGCAGCCCACGTGTGGCTTTCCGTGGCAAGGTTCTGCGAGGAATGTAGGCGCTCGCTTCGGTTGGAAATGCTGAGAGGATCAGAGCTTCACCTGGACTGGGTTTAAGCAAGGGATTACCAACCTGTCCGCACGAAGAATGAGGGTCGAATTCAACTCACTTCTGGGTCCTGAGGTCAGTGGAGGAGACTAGTAGTTGCTTCTCGGAGAGTTTGGGACAGGGGTTATTGAGTTTAAGTTATCTAGTATAGCACTATAGGACCGTACAAGAGAGTAAGACAACTCTGAAACATTCACTCGGCCTTCCATGCATTGTATTGCGTTCTGAAACCATCTGACGGAGATGGATTGTAAATTCCAAATCTCTTTTGTAGGGTTTCACCAAGTCATTTGTTGTGTTGGGCATTCTCATGTGACCCTGGACAAAATGTCACGTTTCAAAGAAACAAACAACAAACCTTCCGCATTGTTGGAGGTTGAATTGTGACAAGTCATTCTGGATGCATACCCAAAACCCGACACAAAGCCGACGAGAGAAAAACGGTCTGAGATTCTCCGCCCACACAAAAAGGTTTCCGGTGGCCGATCAATGTGCGAAGGTCCTTGCAGCACGGTTTAAAGCAGTGTGATTGGACAATTCATCCGGGCTGGGGAGGGGGAAAGATGACAGGGACAACGTTTGTCCATGTAAGACGAGACACGCAGCCTCGCGTCAGCTGAGATAGCCTTGCAGCACCTTTTCTCCCCTTTCATCCAGATTCCATCATGCTTTCGGACTTGTCATCCGTCGCGGACAATGCCACCTTCTCAACAACCCCCTATCTCTCCACGCGGTCGCAGCTTTCCGTCGCAGTCTGACTTTCAGCTCCGAATTACACTCTCAACAGCGTCGCGATAAATAAAATCCTGTTTGAATCGCTCGTATGCTGGTGGCCGATCTGCCCCCGGTTGCCCCATGTCACATCCACTCGTGGCAGCAGTGTGGGAACAGCTACGGCGTCGTGACATAACCAATATCGTCAGGGAAATCATCGGTGACCATGCCACGGATGTCGCGATCTTTCAAGCGGAAGATGCTTCCGATGTCGCCAAAGTCGAGCATCTCATGCACGCCGTGTTCTGGATGAAAGCCATTTTTGACCTGCAGAGAACCTATCTGCAGGGGCTAACGAATTTTGACGATGGCCACCCCTCCTCCACTTCATATCTACTCCCCTCCGAAGTCATCTTCTCGACCCTTATGTACCTAGTGCAGGTGAAGCCGAAGTTGTTCCCGTGCACCAAACCAATCGCCTCGGAGCTGGTCAAATATAGACACTTTCTCGCCCTCACGTTACTCGCCGGTGCGCGACTGCTGCTGTTGCGAGGCCAAAGCATTCGCCATGAGATGAAATTCAATCTTGAACGTGCGATCAGGCAAGCATGGCAAGACCCGGAGCTGCCCGGTGCAGACAGGTTTATGGTCAGCAATTTGCTGCCAAAAGTCATCGATAGTATAGAATCCTCCGATTCGTCATCTAAAAGTCATCTGTTTTTCTCTGCGTCGCAGGGAAGTAATTCTAAATTCACGGCCATGGAACCTGTAAGTTCTAACTTGTATCTCTGTAGCCCTTCCTGGGAGCAAGTTCGGCTTACGCATGATAGAACTCCTTACTGGGAAACACCGAGACTCTAACAGACCTTTTATCGGGTCTGTTGAAGAAAAACACCGATCAGACAACGCCCTTCTTATCTTTGTTTGACATGCTATGGGCTGCCGAGGCGACCATGGTACAGTCCCATATCGATCGCCGCCGTATATCCCAAGAGCAAGGGGATAGCCTTGCTGCAGCACTGGACGGGGATGATACCTTTGAACACACGCGAGAGAACAAAATGAAGCTGGCAAAGACAGTCTTGGCGGCTTTCAACGATGAATTCACGGCCCCTCCGCTTCAAATCCTTGCGACGGTTGTGCTAAGCCAGAATTCCGAAGCTCATCCACCCCTCCAAACGCGAAGAATCCGGGATACTTGGGGTCAGCTATCTCGTATCAGGGAAGTCTGCGAAGCATCCCTGAGTCATCTGGTGAGATGGCTTATCAACCGAAGAGTCCAACTGTGGGGTTGCAACGGAGAGCTAGAGGCCACCTCGCACCACTATCAACAGAATCTCACCGAGTGGTTGCAGCTTTCACCGCTCCAAGAAGCGAATCAATCAAACCGTCAAGATGAAGTATTTTACGTGGTGGATTGCCCTGCCGTCCATTCAGTTCCCAAATCATTATTGGAGGAGCGAATGGATAAAAACGCTTGCGAGGTATGCAAATTCCCTCATGACGCGATCTCTGAATCGAATGTATTATGATAGCAGCGGAGGTTTAACATCGGGACAGCAATTACGAGCGAACTCCCAGATCCTAACTTTAAATATTTACTGCCCTTTGTGTCCAACAAACACGAAAATACAGCATGCACGCATGGTGGAATCCGCCAGGCTTTCCCAACCACGCATCGGCTTCGAATCGGGCAGTACCAGAAGCTACTCCTTTCCCGATTCTATGTCTCGAGACACGACCTCCTCGAGCTCCCTTAGTCATTCCACCAGCCATTCATCCGTCCGTATAGACTCAGGCGACGGAGCATGGAGTCCGATCTCGCCTGCAACTTTCAAGCCAGTATACAGTGCGATGAATAACAAGCATTCTCCTACTACACCCTCCGACCCACATGCCTCATTTTTGGCGCGTGGCAAAACCGATCATCTATATGAAAAGTCTACCACAAAGTCATTCCCGCGAGAACTGAAAAATGTCTCTCTACCCTTCTCTACTGGTTCTTCCATATTTCGTCGGGTGTCAGTGAAGAAGAACCATTTACCTCGTGAGCCCAGATTCTGCTTCTCTGCGTCAGGCCGAAGCCTTCTTCTTTGGGGTGTTGGAAGTAATTGGGTGACCAGGTTTGAGACACCTACTGCAGGAGCACAGAAGCCAAGAAGTTATCGATACGATGTTTCCGGTGTGCAGTACGTTGCCGCCGGAGACCAGCGCTGCGCCGTGATAGCCGCTGTTGGAGAGGTAAACGGCCTTCACCCATCTGCCTCCATGCAACTTGACCAGAACTGACAACGCATACAGCATTACGAGCTTCTGGTATTCAAGGGTGTTGGCCTCAGTGCCGAAGCTCATTTGCCGATCGAGATTCACGACCCATCCTTACCTCCTATCCATATGGTTATGTCTCGCGATGACCGATACATTGCGTTTACCCTCAAAAGCGAGGTTCGCGTTTACGAAATCATTGCGGGCGGTATTGTACGAGTCTCATTCGGTGATACGGGAGACCCCAGCGCATCTCTATATGATATGACTTCGGCTCCAACGCGCATCGCTTCACCCCTAGGAAATGACGGTACTCCAGGAGGGCAAGAAGCGATTATTGAAAGAAAGCTTCAATTCTCGGTTGACGGGAAATACTTCGTCATTGCGACACACCTTACTGACTGCAATGCCTATGTTGATGTGTGGGACCTGTCCCTGAAACGGTGGGATACTGTTCCTGGTAAATCGCAGTCGTTTAGGCTTTCTCACGTATGTCCCTTGAAATCCTAGCCTTTCTTTTGCACGCGTGACTAACAATACAAGCGAACGACTAACAACAAGGACCTCACCTGCGTGTTCTACGATAATGTTCACCATGCAGTTCTCCTACCTGCGTATTTCGAGAAGGAGTTTCCCAAATCATCCTCAGTCGCCGATAAAGACATGCTGAAAGACCCAAATAGCACCCGCATAACGCACGCAGCCCAGTCCGGCTCCGGGTCGCGGTTTGCCATTGCGAACGGCATGAACCAGATTTACTTGTTCGATTCCAATGCTAGTGGGCCTACGCGTGTGGCTCGGGTCAAGAAAGCCTCGCATAAGATCAGTTCGTCGGTTTTCCGACCCGGCTACTTGAGCTTGGCCTTCCCACAGGATGACGAAATTCTTCTTTTCTGGATGGATAATGGGAAATTGATGCTCCGGGCGGTGCGATTGCACGAGGGGACCCAGACATCTAAAGATTATGACTTGCGCTCTGATTTTGACCGGCTAATCCTTGAGCGGCCCACGGCTGATGTGCAACTCCGGCGAGCTTCACTGCTGTCCAAACAACAGAGCCCTGAGCTGGATGGGTACATATCCATCACCAGCAAGTTGGCTGAGCTACCATCGACATGATGTTCGATGAAGATACCAAGACTGCTTCCACATTAATTCTGGGGCATGAGATTGTGGAGGATCACATATATAAATCAATAATAAGTAGTATACTTCTGTATCCATCACATATGCCTATATTGTGAGATCACACCAGTAGTTGGTTCACAAACGGTAAAACCAATGCCTGAGGCCCGGGAGCTGGATGGATCATGCACGTCATTACCAAGACCGGACTAGTGCGGGGGAGCTTCCCCGGAATAATTGAGGTCCCGAGCCCCGAGGGGGTTCCATGATCATCGACCGTCACTTGAAAACAACAGAGTCAAAGACAGGAGGTTAGTCAGTTACAAGAGGTTACTACAGGTATGTTCTTCGTTATTGGGGGCCGATAGAGACTCTGTCGTGCCCAAAGTTACCCCATCCCAGTTCCCTTCTGCCCCTGGTGGATCGTGCGGGTGATCGACCGTCGGAGCTTCTGCAGCTTGTCAAGTCCAGCACCTGAGGATTGCGTGCAGCTGGAATGAGCTAATATTCGCATTGGCTTTTAGCAACTTCGGTGCAGATTACATTTCATCCCAAGCAACGTCTGCAGTAAGGGGTGAAAGGCCTTTGCCGTGTGGACGCAAGTCAAACCGGCTTCGATATATATGCCTTCAAGACGACGTCATCAATCCGTTCACTCTGACGCGGACCGCCTCGGGAACTCTGCAGTCGTTCAAGTCTGAACAACAACAGCAACAGCAACAACAACATCCTTCTTCCCCTTTCATTTGATTACCCCCCCGCACTACATCTATTGTCATGTCTCAGTCTGAGATTCGCGATGCCCGTCGGCCCTCTCAGGCCGAGAATCAGACCATTCTCAAATCTGAGATCCCTTTGAAAGAGCGCTTCTTCCGTTACTTTCAACATGAGATCACTGGTATGACCTAGTTGATGGACTGTGATCCTCTATGCACAGTCGGAGATCATCTGACACCCGTGCTTCCTGTAGCATTGCAAGAACAGATGGACCGTCTCGCGGATACCTCTCTTGTGGGAGGAGAGCGGACGGATGCGACCGACCACTGCCTAGCTGGCATTGCCCGATTGTCCAACGAAGTCAAGGATGCAGCGAGCTATATTCCCACATATGACCAGCGGATATATGCGGAAGTAGGTTGTAGAATGTGGCCTTGACGCGTGTCTTGTATTGATCCATCGTCTAGGCGATCAAGGCCCTCCAAGACAAGCTGGGTGAAACTCGGGCGACGGTCGAGCCACGCCCTAAGTTCAGCTTCAAGACCAAGAAGAATGCTTCGGCGATTTCCTTGTCGGATGCGGCCAACATCGTTTACCACCGTCGGAGTATGCCTGGATACCTTTCCCCGGGGACATCCTCAGTGGATTCATCCGCCGCGCAGACCCCCAACTATCCCTCCACGCCGTTGAATGAGCCCGATCGCATCCTGCAGCCGAGAGCAGAGATCGCCCCGACCTCTTTCCCAGCTATCCCCACGATTGATGTGGACGACATTGAAGAAAAGCCGAAAAACGAGAAGGGCAGGACCTTCGCGGCCACTGCTGTGTCATCTGTATCCGTGCACAACCATGTTGGGCTCCATATCATGCTTCCGTCCTCCGGTTCAACCGCTACGGTGCCTGCCTCCATCACATCCTTGCGCCATTGCGTCGTGGACATGTCCATCCCAACTGCCAACGGAAAGCCCTATGCCAGTCTGACGATCAAGGGTGTCAAGGAGAGCTTGCTGGTTTGCGGGCAGATTAATGGTCCAGCCCACATCACCGATGTGGAGAACAGTACTATCGTAGTCACCTGCCGCCAATTCCGCATGCACAACTGTGCCAATGTGGATGTCTACCTAAGCGCATCCAGCAATCCGATTATCGAGGATTGCACCAATATTAGATTTGCCCAGATACCAAGAGTATATGTATGTGACTGGGCAATGCTTCCTTTCCTGCCGCCCCGCTAACACATTGCAGGCGTTGGATCACGACCACCCGGACAGTGAAGACCACTGGAGCCAGGTTGAAGATTTCAAATGGATCAAGACAGAACCCAGTCCTAACTGGAGTTTGATTCCTCGCGAGAGCGCAGTCCCAGAGGAAGTATGGGCTGAAATCGTTCCTGGTGGCCCAGGATGGTCCCTCGACGACATTTTACGCGCAATTAACATTGCCAACTAGTGACTGCTTTTCCCCACATGGAATACCCATTTGTGGCTGCATATAGGTATACCAATGCAAATGCAAATATTCTGTCATGGGTTATGAAACGTTGGACGCAGATTACACACCTTGACTGGGGATCTCTCCACTATTAATTTAGCTGATCCATCTGGTTGCCATTATGCTCTCGTTCAGTTTGGGCCCTAGTGGTCTCCTCTATCACGTCAGTGGACATTTAATCTACTATGCTATGAAAGTTCTGTTGATTAAGGCACGTCAAGATTGCATTTATGGAATGGGCGTTCTCGGCCAAGTCATCTTTTTCCAGACCTGATTCTTTCGTTTGTACTTGTATTCGGTGCAGGCATCAATCGGAAGACCGACCACATGTCGGTTATTATATATTGTTAATCCAATGCTTGAATGGACATGTTGATGAACAACAACATCGATCTACCAATCTATCAGGGAATATATACACGATCTGGAGACCCTTAGAATTCCATCCGGAAGACCAGCACCTGGTTATCGATATTGTAACCCGATTCATCGGCGTACTTGTACCGCCCAAAGTTCATGTGCCCTAAGCATCTAGTCAGCTTAAAGTCTTCTACATCTACACCAGGGAAAGACTCACCATCCTGCGTCATAAAGTCATTATCGCTGAAGCTGAACAAGAAATACTCATTCTTCGCCGAGCCACGCTTCCTCTGTTCCGGCTCAACCGGAACCAGCGCGAAGCTCTCCCACTTCTCGTTCAACAGCGACGCATCCTGCGATCCACCATTATGCAGCCCGAACTTCGCCAGCTGCGACTCAACATTATAATCCAAGAACGAGCAGTACTCGACCGGCGTAATGCCGTCCTTCAACACGCCCTTGGAAGAAGCCACACTCGCCCCAACACCATCATACTTGCCCTTCAAATCCGTCGTCGAGTTCGCAATCGAGATCACATCCGCCTGCCGATACACCGACCTTGTCTCGTCCTGGCCATGCCCGAACCCAGAATCTCGCGAGAGGACCAAGAAATCCCCAGTGGGAAGCATGTGGATCTCCGACTGCGACGCGACCACCGATTCATTCTTCGTATAATCGTCATACTTCGGCAGCAGCACAACATACTCGTGCTTGTACACCGGCTTGCCCGAGGAAACATCATACTCCAGCAGCCGCGCCGGCTGCCGGTTCTTCTTCTTCGGCCCGCCCTCCTGGTTCAGCGCCGACTGCATCATAGCGTACAACGTCTTCCCGTCCGGCGAGAGAGTCAGCGCCTCCAGACCCTGGTTATTGTTCCGTCCGGTCTGCGGATCCTCCGGGTTCACCTCCAGCTCCGGGTCATACACCGGCGGACTGGCCGCGCTGAAACTCACCGTCCCGTTCCGACGCGGTACGATCGCCTCCGGCGGCTGGATCGCCAGCTCCATCGTCCCCTCCTTGCTGAATTTGTACACGTACGGCCCGTACTCATCGGACACCCAGAACGCCCCGTCGTTGTCGATGGCCAGGCCCTCCGGATCCAGGGAGATGCGCCTCCCGCCGGGTCCCGCGTCGCCGAAGCCGTCGCCGACATAGGTAGCTGCCGGCAGGGGCGGGTAGCCCGGGTAGGACGCGGCGCCGGTGACGTCGGGGTCCAGGCCGGTGGTGGGGACGCCGTCGGGGCCGGTGAGCAGGACCGTGTCGAGGTATTTGAGGCGCAGGTTCGGGGACGAGGGGTTTTTGGCTGAGGCGTTGCGCGCGAGGGTCAGCGTGAGGGCGATTTTGTGGATGCGCGGTTGGAAGTTTAGGGTTCCGTTGGTGTTCCTGGCGGTGTTAGCTGCGACTGTTACATGTATCCATCCTTGGGTGTAGGGTTGGTTCTATTTGTATGTATGTACCAGCCGCGGTCAGGTAGCGCATAGACGGTTCCTGAGTACGTGTCTCGCCCGGTTCGGCGCCAGGACTCTGGCGCAATGGCTATCGAGCTGCCGATTCCGCCGATCGTGTCGCCATACTTGTCCGTTGCGTTGGACGGGATGAACCCGTAGCCTTCCAGACCGGTGTATGCGTAGGTCGTGCCGCCGCAGGTGGTCTGGTTGACGACGGTGGACTTGGCTGTTACTGCTGCTGCTGCCGCCGTCCAGAGCAGTGCAGACAGTAATGTAGGCAGTTTCATTGGAAATACTAGTAGATACTAGCCACCGGACAACTGAACAATAGCCCTCAAGCTAATACTATTGCACCCGCAGTCAAGAAAAACAGATAAAGACTAATAGTACGAAGGGATGTCTGTCTGTATGTACATGTAGGAAATGAAAGGCAATCAATCCGTAAATAAATATCCCACGCGGATGACGATAATCCAGAGCGCATGCCTCGTTCGTGAGTTACCCTTTTGGCGGGACAGAATCGCAGCTGAAAAAAGGTACTCCGAGAGAGGCCAAGATCAACGTGGTGGCAGGTGTGCTTCCTATTCGCTCGGAGCGTTTAATTACCTTCCTTCCTGCCAGGCCAATGACGTTGCGGGGGACCCTGGCTGATGTTTTTTAGTCTGGAGATTTAGTCTGGAGACTATCGCGGTTTGGGGTGATGATATGTATGCATGCTTGCTTGCTTTGCAGGCACTTGATATGGGTGCCTCAGGTGTCCGCGCTGGGTGAGCCCTATGTTCTTGTGGAGGTTACCTTTTTTTTTTTTATATGTACTATTTATTACTATGGTATAGGCTGTTTATACGGAAGATGTGATGGGGTTTAATTATATATTCCTATGGACGGGTGATTATCTAACCTATAATGGGTTCCAAGAGGTTATCCACATAGGATAAAGCCATAACGTAGTTACAATATATACCGTCAGACAAAAGACAGTAAATATACTATCCGGTATTTAAATAGTCATATGTTAGGTCAACACAAAGCAAGCCAGCGAAGCACAATAACCAAGCGAGAAATAAACTACCGCGAAACCGCCGCGCTCTTAGGACTAAACATATCCGATCTATGTGTCGTGCCAAACAGCGCGAGTGACTCAATACTGCACCCAGAGGTAGAGAGCAAGGTAAAGTTGCAGCCCGAAGGTAATTCTCTTTCTAGCTCTCACAGTATCTGTCGATGTCCGAACAGGCAAAGCTTGGGCCAAGTATCGTGTCCATGGCTTTGATCCCGGCCGTGGCGACCTAGTAGGCCTGTCAGTTCTTATGGGGTGCCCAAGACGACCAGCTGAGTAGATGGGGATCTCTGACCTGAGGAAAATAGCCTGCCATTGCGACACAGGAGCCGCCCTCCTAGTAACAGATGGTTAGAGTGTCTGATGTGGGAAGTATGGCCAGCACCTACCTACCACCTGGTATCCATGACTGGGATATGCCTCCATTAAGTAATCTCAGGATGCCACCAATGGCAACGTCACTCCCACAAAGAATTGGGCCGGCCGCATGCCTGTTCCCTGAGACTTGGCCACAATGCCATTGTAGTCCTGCGTGATCTTTTGTTGGTCGCCAACCCATACATCAGCGGATTCAAAGCGGGTTCAGGGTCAGGTCCAGCGGGTGCCACTCTATGTATTCCATAGAAGTTAGCACTGTGAAGCCCCTGATTCCCCGAAGAACCCTGTTCCTGAATTAGATAGGGTTTCTCGTTCGATCGCGTTTTGTCCTATCACATTTCCGAGACCTCTTCAGCGAGTTGCGGGCAATCTGTTGCAGAGCATGACACGCCCTTCCACAAGTGTTCTTTACTATAGCAAATGCATAGTTGGTCATATGACTGGCTTAGAACATGAGCAGGATGGAGTGCTGAGTATTATATGAAGCGTTGTTTACGCCGCCCTAGGAGGACGAATGAGTCTGACCTTGAACTTCGCGCTCCCACCTCGGCAGTCTTTTTTCACCATTTGAAGCCTTCACTTCCCACTTCAATATGCTGCTACGTTTCCCTTTACTTGTGATTGACTTCGTAGTCGCTGTGACTGCCGCCAATTCGCAGCAAGTTTGGCTGGCCTGGACAATCGACAGATAGGCAAGCCAGCCTATTATCCTTTCCTCGGTCTCGCTACAATACAATCCGGGCTTCTGATGCATGGATCGGCTCATGGATGCGACTTCCCCATGCTGACAGCGGCCCAAACGAAATCATGCTAGCCCGACCTGTTTTTGCAATTCAACAGATGAAATAGTCGTGCTGATTCAATCGTCATGGGTGTTCAGGACAGCGATTTGTGTACGAAAACATCAGCCATACATCCGGGGGCGAGTCGCACCCATCCATCAACTCCAACAGGGGCAAATGGTCAAAGGGACCCTGCAAGTCTTCTGTTTGTGCTACAAGTACAGGACTCATCTAATCCGACTGAGGTTCTAGGTAGCTAACGCTGTCGCCAAAACCTCCGATGCGTTGCTGAACAAGAAATTCGCATGTTCTGCCAGCTCAAAGAAGATCCCGAAAGAGGCCTGCAGCTTTCATGCGGATCTTTCACGCGCCGCAGCCAGTGCACAAGGCCCGAATCGTCCCTTTTTTTATATATATAAAAGAATGTTATTGTGGTCCACATCCTCATACTACATAGAAATACCACGATCGTTGGTTTGCCGCATGTAGGGATGACACAAATGCCCAATCTACCCTACAGGAAGCCCTTGATCCCATGATCCAGAAGATGAGGGAGGCTGTGGCGGCGTATGGAAACCTCGAACAATATTGCGCGGGTTCAGTCTAAAACTGGCACATCTGGGTTGTGTTCGGCTTGTGACATTCTCTCTCCAGTCTCCTAGTTGCAGAATTTGGTGTAGGATGAGCAGCTCATGCGATTCCATCCGAGAACGAACTCGGTCTTACCATCTTGATAGCCTTCTTTACATGGTCTCTCAGCAATCTACAGTGCTCCATGGAGTGCACTTTACAGGGTTCCTTGGTTACTTGCGTCCTAGACTTGCTAGTGGCTTCCAAAAGGCCACTCTGTGTGTGTTGAATAACTGAAGTTGAAATAAAAAAAAATGATAAAGCTATTCAAAATACTAGAAAATCTATATTTTCTATATAAGATCTAAACAGTTCGACGATTAGGAATCGCTTCCCATACCACTCATAGTATCTGAGCCCACGTATCAATCACAGTCGGTGGGCTTTCCATTGAGCTTCCCAGGTCGCCCATGTCCGAGCTTCCATATGAGCTCTCCATGTCACTTGCGCTCCCGTACGGACTTCCCATCGAGCCCCCCATAGGACTATCAGACCCAGTAAAACTACCGGAGCTTCCATATGGACTCCCATAAGAGCTTCCCACGGGGCTAGTCGAGCTAGTCAAACTGCCCGGGCTTCCATACGGGCTTCCTGAGCTGCCGTATGGACTCCCCATGGAACTTCCCATGGAACTGCCAGGGCCAGTCAGACTACCTGTGTTTCCAAACGGGCTTCCCATGTTGCCCCAACTTCCCATGTTACTTGAGCTTCCCATCGTGTTCCCCATGGTTTCTGAGCTACCCATAGGACTGTTAGAGCCGGTCAGACTGTCGGAGTTTCCGAATAAGCTTCCCATGTTACTTGAGCTTCCCAAGTTACTTGAGCCTCCCATTGGGCTTGAGCCGCCCGAGTTACTCGAGCTTGGTGTGCCACTTGTATTAGGTCCGCTACTTGAGCCACCTGATTGAGATGCGGATTGACCAGATTGACCAGATTGACCAGATTGACCAGATTGGCCGTCACAGCCAAGATACACAGCTATATCAAGTTAGCATCTACCAAAAATCTCCCTTCTACCTCAACTGACTCAGAAGAAAACATGACAATGAAAACAAAAAAGGAAGGAAAATGAAAAGACACTCACACTTCGCAAAAAAAGCATAGCTCTCCGCATTACTCAACGCCGTCTGGGTATCAATATTCATAATCTCCCGATACCCATACACCTCATTGCCCAGCACGCCCTTGGTATGACCCAGCTCATGCAACGTAGACGTCCTCTGGTCCAGGACCGTGCAATCATCCGACGACGCCGGCAAATCAAAGTACGCAGGACAGGTATTCACCTGGCCGCGCGTCCCATCCGTGCTCGCATACGCGGTCGTGGTGAACGAGCCCGACTGGCAGTTGATGTTGCCGGGCTGGCAGGAGTAGGTGACGACGCCGCCGCCGGGCTGCGATGCTTCCTCGGCGATCTTCTCCAGCGCGCTGGCGACCTGGTCCATGGAGCTGGCGTCGGCGGTCTTGAAGAAGGTTTGGAAGAGCGAGGTGCCGTTGTTGGAGCGCAGGCTGCTTGCCCCTGCTGCCGCCATTTGGCCGGCGCTGGTCACTGCCGCGGAGACGAGTTGCTGTTGCGAGTCTGTGCAGTCTGTGTACGTTGCGCGGGGTTTGAGGAGCCCTGCTGTGGTGGGGGTGGTTAGGTATAGAGGCAGGATGATGCTGAGGACGTGCATTGTCGGGGCTGGGAAATAGTGGGTTGAGTTGATGTGTGTGTGTGTGTATGTGTGTGTGTGTGTGTGTGTGTGTGTGTGTGTGTGTGTGTGTGTGTGTGTGTGTGTGTGTGTGTGTGTGTGTGTGTTG